GGTGTCTGCGGTGGTGACCGAACGCGCTGTTACCCTTTCCGGTGGCTAACGCGTTTACCACCACACCATGTGAGTCCCTCGTTTCGCCTTTCTCTCAGCCGTGTTATATACAGAACAGTTATATACATATGCAGAAGGAAGAGGTGTGCATAAATTCCAATTTACGTTGGGCGGTATATGTTAACATTCATTTTGTTCCTATCGACGTATGTTTATGCGATTAATAGCCAACATATCAACAAACTATTTGTCCGTTCCGAGCATTCGCCATGAAACACAAACAAAAACAGAACGACAAGAAATCGATAATTCACAAAATTTTGAAAATACTTTCGGTTTTCTATCTATCATCCTGTCCATTGGTTCTAAGCAAATCCGTCGATTACAAACCCCCTTTATTATTAGAGCTTTCTTTTCTTTTTTATTCCCGCCCGAAGCTTTAAAATCACCTTTAGAAATGAGAATGAGGAGATCTTCTTGTTTTTTGAAACGACTTCGTCGTTGGAACGTCGGTGGAACGAAAAACTTCTAAATCACAAAATATTCGAATCGAGGAACTATCGCGACTGGTGTTAGTACTATGATTTACGATGAGCAATTTATCACAGTTCTCCTACGGTCAATCACGATGCGACTTTTTGAAACCCAGATTTAAGAATATAAAGAAGGAAGAAGAGAAATAGGAAGGATATGAGCCTTGCCCTATAATGGAAGGAAATTGTCAGAGGTCTCGATGAAGTGCCAGTCTTCAAGATTTATAAGGTTCTTCATGCAACTGGAAATCGGAGTCTTACACTTGTTTTGTGTTTCCCTCCATCTGAAAAAATGACCATGATCGTATTGAATCATGATGCAGAAGGAATTATCACCATCACTAGAACCACTATTTGCTTATTTAAAATCTTTGCTTAAAGGGCACTATTCATTCAGCCACTATTTGACTGCAGTCATTATTTGTTATAATCATGACTACAACTTTTTTTGCTGCAAGCAGAACATTTACTGTCTATACTTTATGGTACGCCTTCGTCTTTGTCAAACAAATTCGTTGAAGTCTTTTCAGTTCACGTTCTTTTCACTGAGCTGTTAATTGCCTTTAGTTTGTCGATGTGTTTGTCTTTTATAAAGGAGGTTACTGTTGAAATGGTTTCAAGCTTTTGTTGGTTCTCAAAGGGGTGTGTGTAGCGCAGTGGTTTAGTCTGCCCGTAATATAGAGGTGGTTACTGGTTCGTCCCCGCCTCCCAGGATAACCAAGAGTCTTCCTGGTGTCGGTCCTCAAATTGGTACGCAGAATAAAAAAATATTTTTGAAATTGAGTTTGGAACCAGTTTGATAGATTAGTAGGCAGCTGCAAACCATTATGTAGGGCCCATGTCGATCACCTCCGCAATGCAACGAATGAAGCTGAAGGCATGGCGCATCCTTGACAGAAGCAACAGTAAGCATTTTATCTCTTATCTTTCATGACAACTAATATTAGAAAAATTGCTCATAGAGCAGATTTCATGATCATGAATGTTCTAGAGAGTTGTAGAAGCTCTCCAACCCTGAAAAAAAACTTACGGTTTCAAGCACTTCCCGAGCGCACTTTGTGTTTTATGGTGAAAATCGGCTCCATGGGGAAAGATCTTGTTAGCCCGATCGATCATTGCCCTCTGAAGATTTTTAGTCGAAGTGCCGACTGGAATGAGACGAACTCGTGTTTGCTTCTTTCCGCCCATGTGATTGTATCGAGAATGAAGAAGAACAGCTTCCGCCAGTGGAACCTTAAAAGGTGTTTTAAATATAATTGTGTCAATCTCATTCATTTTGTAACTAATACACTAAACTTTCTCGAATAATAACACATTATATATTTTTAAAAAATTTGTAAAAAAAAAAGTGTCTAGTATTTTTACTGGCTCATATAGAAGGGAGTTCATTTCATATTGCGTCACCATGACAAGTTACTAACAATCCAGGTACTGGGAGTAGTAGCGGCGATTATGAATAGAGAATAAAACCAGAGGTTACATAGCACCGCAATTTTTTTCGAACGAGGTTATCTTTACCCATTGGGATCTAAAGTGTCAGAATGCAATTTAGACTTGCAAGATTATAATTGTTGTAACATTTCGTCAATTTGAGTGCTCTCATTGAGCTATGTGTTAACATGCTCTTTCACATGTGGATATTTGAGAGCATCTGTGTCCATAGTTGGTGCGAACTGCGGCACACTTTGCATTCGCTCCGGTCCCTAGCAGTCCTCGCCGATGGCGATTGCGGTATGTTTTTTACGTGGTGACATCCGAGTCCCTACCATCTTGAAGGTGGTCGCTTCCCTGCTGCTTGCGAGAACGTTGAAAGGCCACGGGCTGGTGCACTCTTGCATGGCCCATATTAGGAGGGATTTTGCATAAAAACGGAGAACTCCATCTTAGTTTAGGTAATAATCCTGGTAATACTCAAAAACTGCGCCAAAGGCGTAAAACCACTGAGGTAGTAGTCAGCAGCATCATCTTTGTCACTTGTGGTCAATCAACAAGCAATTCGATCCGGCACCGGTTAATTTCATTTGTTCTCGGTGTTCCGGTGAACACCAGAGTCAAACAATGGAGAAGATAAGCATCAAGCCTTTGGTGTACCAAATCTTTGATACTATACCTTTCTTTACTGTTTTTGAGAGAAACTGGAAAGTTGGTCGCACGTTGCTGTGGTGTAGACTTCTTTTCAACTGCGCTTCACCATGAAATGTTAAAATTCTTCTCTTTTTCAGCTTAGGGTCCCCTATGTGGGGATCGATTCCTCTACTGCCTCACAGTTCATTATAAAGTACTACTAGCCCACTATGGAATGGAGGCAAACTATTGGAGAAGAATTATTAACGGTTTCACTAAAAATCCTAACCTACGCAAATTTGCGAAGAATTCCTAAAAATAAAAATATGAGAAAAACAGAAATTTAAGAATGAAAAAGGACTTAGGAAGGAGGCAAATAAATCGTAACCATATGGTCACTAGTTGTTGAAGAAGAGTTGAAGTTACCTTTAGGGCCGTGTAACCGGCTTTGAATTCCCTCACATCATGCGTTGATAGTAGATCGACGGCTTCGGTACGAAATATTACCAAAAAGAGAAAACAAATATTTCTTAAATGAAAGGAATTTTGTAAAGACGACACCAAAAAATTGCAAACATTTTTTTGTGCAAATGATTCGAATTGGTCCGACAAGAGACTGCGTGACTACAAGAATATTCTGAAACAGAGAAATTCCTACTTTAGGTGGCCCATACAGGGCGAACTCTGTGGCATTGAAGATTCCAGCGAAGTCGAGCGACTGGAATGTGAAGTTTACGCTAGAGAGTGAGGGAAATAGTCGAAGACTTTGGTGAGTGAACAGCAAAGCGCCAACGGACGGCTTAGCACCAAATCGCTTGGTTACAAAGGACAAGAGCGAACCGTTTCTGAATAAGAGTCAATTATATGACGTACTAAACATCGCAGGGATATTTGCAGCTCAATTATGGGTGCATTACACTCGTAGCGTAGGCTATGAAAGTCGCCATAGGGAAGGAATATGCATTCAACCACAGTGATGTCGAGATATTTGCAAAACTCCGGACCGCAGGTGTCTGCGGTGGGATCGAAAGCGCGATTACCCTTTCATTTCAACATTCATAAGTTACCGCCGGATGCTTAACGAACTGAAGGGTTGGTAAAATTCTGGACGCCCAATACATTATGTTTTACTAAACGCAGAAGTCAAGTTCTCTAACTTTTCAAACTCCGTTGGCCTATGAGCAGCACAGGTTAGCCGGGATTAATAAAAAAGAGAAAGAATGAATAGCTGTGTTCTTATTTAATCAATACTTATCCTCTATATGCATAAAGGGTGTTCGCATAGAATTTATCAAGTAATTTTCCGTTGATCACTCAAACACTAATTCTGGGTAATTTTTAACAGTTCCTTGGGTTCAAACTTTTAATTACTGCTTAATTTTTCTTCATGGCAGGTATGATGTGAAATACACCCATAAGGATGATGAGATATGAACAAAACTTGAAACCTCATTCGAGTTTCGAGCGTGTGTTCGCCCTTTCCGGGTGCTCACGTGCTTTCCATCACACGAATTGAGGCCTTTGCTCTGCTGTTCTCCGAGCAAATTTTTTCAAAACCTAACCCAGTTCCTTAGGTATTAACTTTAAGCTCATTGAAAGGAAAACTGATGATGGAGTTCCAAGTGAACTACCGAAACCGAGTGCTAGAAAAGAAGTGATGATGACGATTTATAAAAGTGACTAAATGATTTTAGAAGTACATGTTGAACAGTTTTTAAATTTCTAGGACACCTCAACCACATTAGTATTCTAACCTCTTTCCTTACAATCTGGTTTTTCACGGTGCACCTTTCGGCGACTTCGGCTTCTTTGGAGCCGTTCTTCTGCAATTTATGTTTTCTGAGAAGGAAGACAACTCTCATGTTATTCATATTAATTCAATGGTAACAAGGTGAAGGTCGATTGAAGGCTATTATTACGGATTTCTTCCTGATATTCCACTTTTGACTAATGTTCAATTTTGCTGTCTTCCATATGCTTCTCCTTCTATGTTTAAGTTAAAGATCCTCATATCAGCGTTCGTCTCAGGAAACAATCTTGTCTATATACTCTGTTGTAACGATGAACTTACGTTAAGAGTTATGAAAAAATTCTTTGTTGTGGCTAACGTTTCCACCCTATCGAAATCTTGAGAGATGCAAAGTCTCGATTCGGATGTTATGAACAGGAGTTATTTTCTGGGATCTGTGAGTCCTCGTACTCGCATAGGAAGCAGTGGAAACGGAGAGATTTGAAAAGAATACCTATTGTGGAGATCGGGCTCTGGAGAAGGTAGAAGCGCCAGAGTAGACATTTTAAAATAACGACTTTGTGTAAGCTTATCATTATAGGAAAATATTGGGTAATTACGCCGATGTTAAGCGTTAGTCAGCTTCCAAAAATATCACCGCCTGTTTTAAGCTATCAAAATGTTTTCTTCACATGCCTTGGAATGATGAGCTCGTCGATGTCAACCAAGGCACCGAATTCGCTACCAATTCGTAGTATGCAATCATTGTGAGCAAGTGAGTGTGCCAGACGGTACACCGATTTGTTCGGATCGACAATGGAATTCTTCGGCAAAGATGGCCACGGAATAATGGTAACGAAGCGCTAAATGGAAAGCGATCATTATGGAGCACAACTGATTCATCTGAGCTCATAGAGAAGTCATCAAGAATTGAGGGTCTCAATTTTCCTATAACCAGAAAATTCGATTCGTTCTACTAATTCATCTTCTTTTGTAAAATTGTGAAATTACATTGAAACTATTGAAATTCGAGCGATTGAATATTCTGCCAATTCTGGAACATGAGCACCAAATGTAAAAAATGTTTGCATATGCGTTAAATATCACCATATGTGAAAGGGTTGTAAACGGGGAATGTAAAACTTTTTTTACGAGTATTGGCAAAATCTTCTGACACTCTTCCCGCTCCCCACACACCCAATAATTTGCCTCTTGATCGTTCCTACTGGTAGTTCTAGATACCAACTGAGATGTGTAATAAAATAGGATCTTAGTGTTCTCGGTACGACCATCCAAAATTGAAAACTTCGACGTTTCTAACTGGAAGATCAGGTAAAATGAAATCAATGGGAGTCGCCGCCACCTACGCGACGAAGTCGCGACCACCTAAAAGGCTTAGGTTCACTGTAGCTATGGATTTGTGAAGCTCTCATTAGGTTGCTGTAATACTCCAGAGGAAAAAAGGCTTTACCCAGATGCTAGTGAGATGAGAATTTTTCCAGAGCTTTCACAATCCTACGTGAAAAGAGACACGAGAAATTGCAGTAAATTAAGAGGAAGCAAGCTGTTCACATTATGCTTATGGCTACTACCATGGCTTCGTAACGACTTTCCGTATGGATCAGAAAATAAGTCAATACTTTGTGAGGTTTTCTCATACTTTAAAAACAAAGAAGCCTTTATCGATCAATAACGACTTAAGACCTCGTTAAGAGGAGGAGAAAAACTTTTAACGTCAAGTTTCAAGAAGTTTTTGATTGTCTTTTGAGGCTTGGCTTATTTAGTATGGTAATTTACCATAAAAGACTCGACCAACAAGACACAGGGTTGAAATCACTGGTTTGAAAATTTGCTCACAAAAAAATCACAGCAAAAGATACTCATCGATCTATTTCCTGCGACAGTCAATAACCACAATTTATACTATGATTCAAAGTTTCTTAAAGATAAGCTATAACGACTTATTACCTGTTTTTCGTAGTTGTCTAACACCTTGCGAACATTGTTGGTAGATGAATGATAGTACAAAAATACATGACTCGCGCCCTGTGCTCTCCATGTCTCCAGGAAAAATATAATTCTAATCCAATCAGTAAACCTGAAAAGATAAAACCTCAGATAGTTGAAATGACGGCATCTCCATAGCACTCGTTTTTACATGAATTTCATACCAATTCATTTGAACAACGACGAAACAACGGTGAAAGCAAGTTTTTAGTTCTGCTCGATATCGAAACTGGTCAGAACTGTTTCAAAACTTATAACTTCTCATTCACTGCGTACTGTAGAAAACGAAGATCATAAAAACACATAAAAGCTAGTATCAAGAAACTTTCCAATAGATAGGGGGCACACAAACATTCAGAGTTCCTTTCGTCCTCGTTGGTGTTCGTTGCAGTGGTAGTGCTAACATTTTCTCACTTTTGAAGAGTGTGACCTGAATTTTTTCCTGAATTTTTCTTATATGAAATCATACAAATCCAAAAACTGAAAATAATGAAGAATTATAACTCATATGAAATGCTGAGATATTTGCAAAACTCCGGACCACAGGTGTATGCAGTGGGGAACGAACACGCGCTGTTGTCCATACCGGGGAGCAGCGCACTTCACCACTACACCATCCGGGTCGGATTCATACGATTGGACTTCATACGAGTTATATTTCACAACATACCCTGCCATTAAGAAGAAAAAGGCAGTAAATAAAAGAGTTAAGATAACGAAGAATTACTCGTTCATCAAGCCTTGAAGGATGCGCCGTGCATTCGACTTCATCGACCGTTGCTAGAAGCGATTGAATGCATGTTTAGCCTTATACAATGGCTTGCGATGACCTATGTGTCTAGTGCTGGCATGCTCGCGATCAAGTCTGGTAGCATTATGACAACTCCGGTTGGGTGAAAGACTTGTTAGGTGCCGAAGTGGGATAGAAACACAACCAAGTGTATATTCCAAAGGACCTCTAACCAATCTTTATGTACGCGAGTGCAATCATATGACGAGGGAAGCATGTTACAGATATAAATTACATGTTACAGATAGGCTTGTCAACAAACATCCTAGCAGTGGTTTGTCGTGTCACTATGGCCCCGTGTTTTACTCTGTGAAAGTTATTCTCCCTAACCTGATCGCTCAATTCAAAAAGAAGCTTGACATTCTCGACCTTGTTGGCTTTTTGATAGATGCCAATAAATTCCAGATATTCCAGATCACTAAAGTACTTAAAAAGCGGAAAAATTTAAAGGCTTAACCTTATCGCCAAATCGCACTTATAATTTTTAAAGAATACACTTTCAACCAATTTCAAAAATAACGAAATTTTTTAAATTATTACGTGCACTCTAGAGCAGAATGGCACTCTAGAGCACATGTGTTGAGAAACGTTATCGTGTCCTGCTAGATGGAATTTATAATCTTTATAGAGCTGTGTCAACATAAATCTGAGTACAAAGAGTCTTTTTTAACAAAACATCCAGTTTTCTTCGGAGTAATTCGAGTATCGAGATGCTTAGAAATGACGAATCTTGGGTACTGAAGCTTGCTCCGTACATCAGAAAGTGCAGTAGCAACAGAAAAGTTTTCCTAAATGGTGACCGTAGAGCGGCTGGCTGACTACAATGTACAAGCTGACTCGAACTGGAGATAAATGAGAGAACTGGAGATTCGTCCTTTTGGTTACAGCAACTCACAAATAGGTTATCCGTTGCGCAGTGGCTAGAGGTGCCATGTAGTGCACACATGATCATTGGTCCGATCTCCTACCGTGGGGAAACCAAGCCCAAAATCTCTTTATGGTCGACAAATTAGTGGCAGACTTGTATGGAAAGATAAAAACGCTGGTTTCAATACTGCTAGGCTCTGGAAGTAGTTGCATAAGCGAAACATGGATTCATTCAGAAGCTAAATGTTGCGTACCTTATCCCTTCAAGGTATGCTTTGCCTTCAAAGCTAAACCGGTTTAAATGCCATGAAGCTTAAAACAACTAGTAATCTGTTTGAACCCACATGACTTATGTTATCGGAGCTCTTCTTCGACGAAGCATCCAACACATACGAGTTGTACTCGCATCCAGGAGCCCATCGCCATGGACATGATCCCTCAATCGGTCGTGCTCGGAAACGCACTCCATTATTATTGACGACACCTTCTAACTTCCAGTCCGGTTTTACGCATTGATTGATTGAGAGCACTCGAATTACACTGCTGGTGGCACTAGAATAAAACTCTTAAAAACATGAATGTACTTCGTTCTTAATACGGAGCTGTTATCATATTGCGTCGGTCTCTGAGGAGCTGATCGCACAAAGTCGCAATTTGCCATCATCAAAGACAACAATAACTGACAGAAAACGGTTTTTTTTGCAGAAATCACCATTCTGCATAATTTATTTTTGGCTTTCTAAAATGCCAACAGTGAAAATTTTATGTCGCTTCATTTAATGAACTTTCCTCCATTGATAACTTTTTCGAGGTGACAAGTAATAGTCAGTAACACGAACGACAAAGGGTAAGGTGTCCGGCGTTCTTCTGTCTATTAAGGAGACCCTATGAGTTCGGCTCCATTCGTAGCATCACAGATGTGACTGAGTACATATCTAGTCAATACTACGGCTTGTCATGATATAACGATATCAAGAAATAATTTTAAGCTTTCTACCAAGTTCACTAGCAATCACCTGCCTACACCAGAGTAATGGGATGCTTTACTGGTCGAGGGCTCGTGGTCGAACCAACGACCATGCGTCTATTGCAGGGTGCTTTTATCCACTTCATCACAATCAACATTTCAGGAATCAATAAGACAAAGTTTAAGAAATGCTTAATATCTGGAAACATAACTGAAGCGCTCACTGATGCTTCTTCACTTCCGTGTAAGCCGTCGTCACAGTTCAAAATCTTAAGCAGTGAGTCCGGCAAAAAGTAAACTTGTTGACAGAACTTAGCAAACTATCCACGGGCGCTTTCACCTCATAAAAACTTTAAAAAGGACACCTTATATTTGCGGAAGTTCTTACGCTCTTCGTGTCTATTGCACGACCTGATTAGGCTTAGCGGCTTTTATATACACTGGAGACGAAGAAGTCCACTGGTCTCTTTTCGCTTGAATTAGTTAATGATGAGGGTGACCAGAAACAACATTGGTGAACTCCACCGAATCCATTTTAACGCTTTCCACACTTATCGTGTCTAAGAAGAGCTCTTTATGTCAAACTGCCGTCAACTAATTCGATCTTGACATTTAGTCAGTGCCTCTATCATAGGAACTATAAGAAGGTAAACAATAGGAGTATTAGCACTGCTTTGAATCTCTTTTCGTCTGCTTCACTCCACCATCTTTGTTTCTGTTACTTCACTTGGTCACGTACTATATCAGAAATAAAAAAAGCAGAAACAAGGACAAGAATGGATGACAGTCTACCTGCTGTAGACGTAAGCTCGATACAAAAACAGAGAGTCAGCAGAAATCTCAATTGATAAGTTTCGAGTACCCCTGAAATAGCCCAGAATTACTAAAGTCCCGGATGATTTGTTCCTTGAATATAATTTTTTCGCTTTCTACTTACTTAGATAGTTACCTATATATTCGATGGTACCATAGTTATCAAGTAAGTTCTGCATAATCAAATTCTAACAACTACAAAATCGATTAACTTGCTGAAAAAACAGTTTCACTTAGGAAACTGTGAACATAGATAACATCTGCTAAAAAGAAAAAAGTTTTGCATATTAATTGAGTTATAAACCAACAGTGGTTTTATGTTAACCGCAATGAGACGAGAAAAACTGCTCAAATAATTGACGAAGTACAGTAATGAGGCACTGACGATAACCAGTGCCGTGAGCAGAACGGAGTTCAACCGCATCTGGAATTCACATTTCGTTGAATCATTGAATTAGGAACCTTCCAGAAATGTCTTCACCTCAACGGTAATGTTTTAGTAAGGAAATTACCAAGAGACGTTCCTCCTCTTTCTTTAACGCATTGTTGTTTCGGTGACTCAAAAAAAATTCGTGGAAATCAACGATCTGGAAAGCGAGACCAAACATGTCAAGAAGAAGTTGGCGAAAACTCTGTCGAAACTACAACACAAAGACAGCTCTGAAGCCTAGTAAAAGTGAAAAGTGTAAAGTCAGTAGTGACTTTCAAGGTCTTGGTTACTTTTAAACTTATGTTTGAAGAAGAAAAACTTCTGGAACGACATGTGCGATACGGGCTCTATAATGTACACCGATGCAGCGATGAAAACGAAAAGCCAAAAAGAACTTTGAAAACTGAAGAAAGAGACACCAAGGAAGATTTTAGCAAAAGCAAACTGCTCTGCTAGTAACGACTCAGTTGAGCTTCACCGTTCCTTGGTTCTATCGAAACTATCTAAGAAAAAACTTAACAAGATCTCTACACTAAGGTTGCAAAAAAAAACAGCCTCGCTATTTCGAGTGGATCTTCCTTGTGTTTACTCCTGAGAGTCAAGCACTGTCCGAGGGATGGGGGTCAGAAATGAGGTCGGCAATAAACATATGCCCAAGATGTAAGCATTGCTGTGCGGGCAGACGAAGGCCATAAAGAGTAGGTGTTTGTTTTCAGAAAACACGAGCATTCTGATGAATGTATGCAAAACAAATCGATCATAAAATGGCATGATAATGCCATCTCAACTAAGGGTACGAACTTGTAAAAAATTCTAAGTGAAACTTGCGTGGGAACCTCAATCGGTTTTCTACGATTCATTGTTTTTAGCTTCAATAGGAAAAGGTAGAAGTGTCACGGTATGAGTTCGCTTCATTAGAAATCACGTTATGATTATCGATACAATCGAACAGAGGCAACTAACTAAAAAGGCAGTGTTTCGCTTTTCTTCACAGTTCATTGAAAAGGATTGTAAAACAAAACATGAAATGAAAAGGTAGTCTTTGTAAAATCACAACATCATTTGACATCAACTGATCAATCGTTGTCAATTTGCCCACGATGGTAAAAGTAACAACGCCTGCACTTTTTATTATACGCCGACACAAAGCGCATGCACTTGGAGACTCTGGAATGGCAGAGAGCCAAAAGTAAATGTTGCAAAATTTTCGAAGAAAATGAGCACAACGATCAGCTCTGGCTAACCCTTTAGGAATACACAACGCATCTAATTCTATTTCTAACAACGTATGGAGGATTGAAGAGATATTCGCTCTGCATATTAACTGTTATAGACCTTCTGACCTATCTAGCAAGTGTTTTTGGCACCAGCTCCTCGACTCCAGATGGATTGGGGTTTATTTTGTATCCAGGAAGCAGGATCGAACCCAGAACCAACGAGCACGGGTGGATTGGAGTGCGTCTCTAATCACTACGTTACGCTGGTCCCCAAAAATGAGAACGTAAAAAATTTGCCGTTTTTCTAAGGCAGGAAACTCCCAATTATGATAGAATCATCGACAGTGTACTGAACGTGGATTGATTCGGAAGGATCAGTTGTTAGACCCAGAACGACGGCACGGCTAACAGATTCGTATCACACGTCAGCTGAGAAGCACCATATGCGTAAACATAAACATTTATTGAATTTTTCTGCCGTATCAAAATTTTTTCACCTTGAAGATAACTCACTTTTTTCGTTCCACTTACGAAGGGACAATTTTACCACTGCTTGCTTAGAAGTTATGTGGTTAGTTATATTACATCGCTGCATAGGAATTAAATTAGGAAATGAAGCATTAAGGAAAAAAATCGGAGTTGATCCATCCTTAGTTATACACCAATGAATTCGACTCCATGAGTCATCGTAAAGGTGAATGAATATTCGTATTATATATTCGACCGATTCGTATTAAATATTCGACTTTCAGAAATACTTGCTCAAGATAAACTATCAATGACATCGGAGAGATGGAGGGTTTCATTTCCTTTGGACGCAAGATCGAACAAATGGCGACGTATGTATTGCAAGGAATATCGAACCACTGCGCCATGTGCGCTTCCGAATGAGTGAATAGGAAAGAATTAGGCCTCAAAAATATTTTATAATACTTCAAGTGCCTAACATATTCTTTTGCGAGCGGATGGCTATGAGGTGCACAAATGTAGCATGTGGCTAAAGGAAAACAAGTGGTAAAAGACCCTTGTGAAGTGACAAAGAGTTGAAGCCGTAGATTCCTAACAATAATTGATTAAAGCGGACAAAGTGCTGCGATGAAAACAGCAGCGAAGGTGTTGTTTCTAGTGAGTTGAGTGAATGATTAGGTTCTATTACAAACGTTTTCATCAGTGTTGTTGTCGATCAATCATACCTCGACCGCGTTGAACCTCATAATGAAAGCCGTTGATTCGATGTTCTACTGAGTGGTGTTCGTTTGTTGTCGTGAGCACAACAGTGAGTGCAAAATTTGAAGATCACCATAATGTTGGTATTAATGCTGCCTACGCCATCGACGACTATGGATGTGGTTTGTTCACACTTTCTTAAACGACTACGATGGGATTTTTTTCTGGTCAGCAAAGGGCTCTGGCCCTTTTTCCGCGCTTGTGTTTTCATCAGTGTCACTAGAATTGGCGATTGATCACCTAAAAAATCGTAAATTGTGTACACTTCCAAGATTGTTAAGCGACAGATTTTTGAACTACAACAATGGAAAGGTAGAGGAAGTAGCGCTTCAAGTTGACCAATATCTCATGGAGAAACACCATGCCATGCATTCGATTCCATTATTAACAAGTTAGAGGTAATTAAAGGCGTGAGTGGTCTAGACCATGTATAGAGAAGGCCTACTAATTTATCCAGTTGGTGGCTTTATCGTTCCAGACAAGCCTGGTAAGAATCTGTCGAACACGGTAAGATTTACGGTTTTAGTTTAGCGAGAGTGCAGAATAGAACCAGCGACCACTTACGTGTTGTAGAGCTTCTAACGGCTTCGCCACGCTTGCTTGTGGTCATGATGCTGTTGAAAACAGAAATACCGCTTAAGAACACCTTCATTCTTTTTTTCACTTGTTTCAGGTTTTTTAAGGTTTTATTATCAACGTTAGGGTTTTTGAAAGTGAATATTTTAAATCCAACAATTTAGCATGGGAACTAAAAAACTCATGGATATTTGGACATTTCTATAGGTTAAAATTTATTCATGTTTATTGAATATAAACTAAAAATGGATAAACTAAACTAATATAAACTAGACTCTTGGAAATAAACTAAGCTGTCTCTGAAAACCCTGCTAGAGCAAAAATCAGGAACCATTCCATTTCCAAGATTGTATTTCATTGATTTTTAATGACTGCTAGATTCCAAGTGCCGCTGGAATCCATGCGACTGTAATGTTCCGCTATCCACGGATCTCCCTCATAAAAGGGATCTCGAGCCATTTAGTCGCGACGCTACGTGGCGCGTTCCCAGTTGGTGGATAGGGGGTCAATCGCAGACCAAAAGCGACCTTTGCCACCCTGAGATGCAGGTGAAACCAGGGGATGGACTCCCTGTTTCTGCTGCGCTGATTTGGTACACACTTTCTGTATTTACTAGGCTTATTTACGCATGCGTGTTGCTGCGTTCTCGCTCATGCGGATTGTATTCTACGAGTCAATTCGGCTAAAAGCCTGCAATCAAGTGACTGGGAAGTATATGGGAGGCAGTTAGGAGTCATCTCCAACAAATAAGCTCCATGTCCACCCTGGCAGAGCCTGGCAACCAACCTGTGAATATACCCGACCCCTACGTTCAGAGCCCATCAAGCTATACGTAGGTATTAAAATGCTAAACACAGTAAGAAAAAACAGACCTCATTCCCCTGACCGCGAAAGAGAACCCTATTCGGCAGCGTTGGATAGGACGAGTACGGAGAGGCTGCTAAAATCTCAGTGCCAATGGAAGCTGCCTGGATTACAAAAGACTATGGTGACGATCCGTACCTACAATGCACGTACACTTGCATCCTAACCCTCGATAGAAAACTTGCTCATGCAAGCAAGAAGTATAAGGTGCGACGTCATCGGCCTGGCCGAGACGAGACGACGCCATCCATTCAACGCCGTCTATGACACCGGAGAAGAACTGTTCCTC